AAACAACCCCAAAAAACCGCAAGGGTTTTCCCCGCCCTGGTGATGCTGTGAGGAGGTTACAGCCCCCCACCCCCAGCAGGGGTCCTCCCCCTCCCTGGCCGGGGAAGGGAAGCAGAGCCCCGGTGCGGAGGGACCCACACACGGTGCTGCCCCGATTCTACTCTTCCTTTGCTGCCTCTTCTCTGCAAAACGGGACCTTTTATGTCGCGTCTGCGCTCCTGCGCTCACACACGTCCTTGTTCACGCGCAGACGAAGCAGCAAAGCCCCCGCCTGCCTCTCGGGAGGTCACAGGTGAGCAAAAAACGCTGTTCCCCAGCCTCCGGGTACAGCTTCGGAGCAGCGAGGCTGACAAAATCCATCCCCCTCCGGCACCGAGGGGCAGCGATTTGGGAGCTCAAGCAGCTCCTTACCCCCGGGGCTGTCAGGCTGCTGTCAGAAGCGCCGGCTGCCTGCCAGCCCATAATCAGGTGAAGTGCAGACCTGTCATTTGCCAAAGCAGGAAGCACTTAGCCACCAGCAGGGCCTCGTGCCTCTGATCTCGGCGAGACGCGGCTCAGCGGCCCTTTAAACCAGCGTCCGGCTGCCGCCCGAGCCCTCAGCGCGCGCTCGCGGCCCGCGCCAGACCCTGGTTTTTCTGCCAGGCTTCACGGGGGGGGGACGGACGGAGGAGCTGCCCCTCTCCTTGCCCCACTTCTGGCAGCCCAGGGCAGCAGCGAGCCTGGGGAAGACCCCGTCGCCATCGCCCCCAGATCTCTGAGCACGTTACAAGGGTCCTGAGACTGTTTTGTCCCGTGCCTCGGTTTCTCCAGAGGTTGCCCATCCCGCTTACACAGTCCCACAGCCAGGGACAACCGGGACGCAGAGATCCGGTGCCTGCCTGCGGCTCACGCAGGAGCCCCCACGTACTCCACAGTCCCACCTCCGGGATGAAGCAAGCCGCATCTTCCAGCTACCTGCTGCGATCGATCGCCCCAGAGCCTCCCCAGGGAACTGCAGCTTTCTGATGTTCAATTAAGTGGACGTTACCCCTTCCATCTCTAGTGATTAATACAGCTTTAATTGCTGCTTCTGCTGGCTGCTGGGGCAGGGCAGACATTTCGCCACCCCGCCGGGTAGAGGCTTGTGCTGCTGCAAATAACCTGGATTTCAACCGGCTGCGTAGTTCTGCGGCCCCGAGTGCCAAGAGCCCTAAACACCCCCCAAAACCTCGCTGCAAACGGCAGAAAACTCTGAGCCAGGAGCCACAATCCGGGAACGCTTCGGCCCACCCCGCTTGTCCATGCTGCGGGTCTACTCCTCTCCCCCCACGCAGGAGCTCGTGGCCTTCAGCGAGGCCACACCAAGAATAAAGCGAGGCCATCTTCATCTCCAGCCACGCAGACAGTCACGAGAACCATCGCCAGAGCTGTAATAACCCGTCCGTAAACGCAAAGTCTGCTCAACGTTCCGGTGAGAATTGAAGTAAAGGTCACTTACCCCCCGCTCTGGTGCCGGATCCTGGCGAGGAAACGCACGCTCCTGACTCAAGCAGCATCTTGCTACATCAAACGAGGTGCCGCATCACAGCTAATCCTCTTGTCTCCAGGGGCGAGACTCCACTCGGGCCTCTAGACACTAACTTCTACGCCACTTCTCCAGACAGAAGTCA